GAGTGGGCGAGGGCTCAAGCACTTTGGAAAATGGTTTGCCAGGTTCTTACAGTATTAAACATATATTTACCAAAACCCTAATGTACCTAAGGAAAATGTACCTAAGACCAATAAAGACATATGCTTACACAAAGACTTGTACACAAGTGTTCACGGCAGTAGCATCTACCTCAGCTCCAAAGTGTGAATAGCACAAAGGCCCATGTGCCCATGAACACACAAATGAAATGTCATCTATCTAGGCAGTACTTCCAGATTTGCCCCACTCAAGACCATGTTAGTTCATTAGTGTTATAATCTTAAGGGTACTTCTCCCTTCTTAGCTGAACCACCCAATTCAGTTCTGCTGTATTAGAACAGAAAGCTGGGTTCCAAGCTGTGAGAAACAAGTGGAGTTAAGGAAGACCAGACAAACCCTCAGGTCTTTTTCTTGAGAAATTAAAACAAATACTTTAAAGTAATACTAAATCTGTTAAAACAAAGCCAGACTTGGTCTGAAGTTAGAGAATGTCTCTTGCTTTTAAAATTGAAAACTAGGACAACAACAGATGAAGAATGTTAATTATAGCATTGTTTATATTAACAAATATTGAAGTAAGTCATATGCTAAATGGGGGCAAGACAAACCTTAAAATATTTATATAGTTAAATAGTATGGCAATATTTAAACACTGTGCCTCTGAAGAACTTTCATTTAGAAAAAAGAATACAGGAAACTACATTAGTAAAAATATTAGGAAAATCATTAATTTATATATTAGGCCAGTAATATCCATAGGATTATATAAATTTGTAGATATTATTTTATGCAAATATCTCTGACAGAGTTGTCTTTTGATGTTGGATTCCCCTCTATATGCTGTGAATATGTTTTATTACCATTGGTTAATAAAGAAGTTGCTTTGGCCTATGGCAGGGCAGAATATAGGTAGGTGGGAAAACTAAACTGAATGCAGAGATAAAGAAGGCAGAGTGAGGCAGATACGATGTAGCAACTGAAGGAGAAAGACTCCAGAACCTTACTGATAAGACACAGCCTTGTAGTGATACACAGATTTGAAGCATGATTAATAAAAACTCAGAGACAGAAATTGGGTTTCAACCTAAAGACCAGAAAAGCAAAGCAGCCAGCCACTGGCTCTTACCTTGACTTCAGTGCAAAAATGGTGATTCTACCTTCAGGAAACCTCAAAATGAGACTGAGACTGAGATCTGTCTCCTCCAGTTTTATAATCCTCTCTAGTTCTGACATTAAAGGCACGCACCCCTACCACCTGGTTTCTATGGCAAGCTAGTGTGGCCACTGGGATTAAAGGTATCCAAAACTGGATGAACTAGTCTTACTTCTAGGCCTTGCTCTCCAGCTCTGGTGCCTCCCTTGTGGTACCCATGCTTCTCTGAGCCCCCTCTGCCTTTGGATGTTTCCTTACCTCTAGGATGCTATCTCCGCAGATCCTAAGGCACAGTGGCCCTCCTTAATCCCCTTAGAGAACCTTCTCATTCCCCTCTTGGTCACTTGTCTTGCTTCTTCATGCCCAGTCTTGTTTTCTGCATAACCCCTGCACCCTGTTTAAACTCAGCGCCACACGTAGTTCCTGGTACTGCTTTTCTGTGTTCACTGGGCACATCCTTTTATCCTCCCAGCCCTCTGTCTCTCCACCCACAGCACAGAGAATTTCATCCCATTCTTGGTCCTGAGCAAAGACGAGGAATCGTGAGAAGTGATCCCTTTGGTGCTTAGCCAGTGGCTGCTGCTGTGGGCCTCTTTCCACTGCTGTTTTGTTGATAAGCTTGTCAACCATGTTCTTCCAAAGGCTCACAGTAACAGATAGTACAGATTTTGTGGAGCAAATCAAAGAGATCTGTCACGTCCCGGAGGCTCTTATCAGTGCTGAGTCAAGGTACCAGCAGCTCGGTTCTTTCCAAGAGTCATGAAGGAGACCGTTCCCCAGCCCATCTCACAACTGCTGGCCTCAGGCTGCTGTAGTATATGACATTGCTGGTGAACATCCACACCATCTTCCCTCCAGCCCATCTGTCTCCACGTCCGGGTTTGCTTTGTTCATAAGTTCACAATTGTTTTAGACGCACTGGAAAGTCCTGTTCTATCATTTCTGTAAAACCTTGGTGTGTGTGTGTGTGTGTGTGTGTGTGAGAGAGAGAGAGAGAGAGAGAGAGAGAGAGAGAGAGAGAGAGAGAGAGAATGCTGAGCCTAAAAACAAGTCAGTGGGCATCTTGTTCTCCCCCTTACTTTGTTGGAGCTCACACGTCAGTTTAATTTGCAGGTAGGCTAAAGGCCAGCAAGTCCAACAGCCTACTGTTTTCTGACACCCATGAGCTTGCATATCTGAACTCGTGACCTCATGCCTGTGCACCAAACACTAACCCAATGATCTGTCTCCCCAATCCCCCCAGTCTCAGACTCTGATCTTCCTGAGATCATGCTCTGAGATCCTGGGGGTTGGGGTTCAATTTAGCTTTTGTGATAATTTAACCTTTGTTGTTGCAAATGACTAATTGATGTGTTCTTTAGAAAATGTTATGTTGCAAAAGTAAATAAAAAATAAAAAATAAATAAACAAAAGAGCTTGGCATTTGTCAATGAGATTGAAGCTTGAGGAAATATCAAAAACAAATAAACAAACAAACAAACAAACCCAAAACCACTTGACACTGAAGCCTCGTGGCTTGCCTGGACTAGACATTTTATAGCACTTCTTTTAGCCAGCCCGGATGAGTGGGGTTAGTTTTGACGAAGACCTGTTTCTTTCCACTGAAAAGGTTCCAGAATCTTTACCCAAAGTGGTATTTCCCACATATGCTTTCAGAATCGAAAACCTTTCGTTCCTGGCTCGTGACATTTTTGTGGGGCCTCCAGAATAGAACTAACCCAGCAGCTCTTAGGCAGTTGGCACACTTTCTCCGTGTGACAGCATGCTGCAGGGGGCCCTGCTGTTTATGTATGATGTATTGTCCTCTTAGGGTTCCTAAACGCATGCAATGAAAACCGATTTAGACTATTCATCTGACAGGAACCAGGCTAGCCTGGTCCAATAGAAGTTTATTTACTGGAGATGGTGAAAATTCTGCCAGGGTGGAGTGAGAGTCATTCTGTTAAGTATTCCTTGCTAGGTCCTTTAGCGCTATTGCTCCAGGTCCCCTGGGGCGGGAGCGGTACTGAGGATAAATGTCCAACCCTGATTCCCACACTACCGTTTAGCGTTGTCTGAGGGACAGGGCCTAGGATTCCATTTCTAATGAGCCACCTGGGTGGTTCTCACTCACTCTGTGTTTCGGAGTCAGTGTTTCCTGTCGTGATTCCGGGAAAGCATGCATTGTCTCATCGGGGTTAGATGGTTCCCAGAGCCAGAGTCTCCCCAAGGCTGAAGGTGCAGAGATCCAGGTGGCGTGTGTGGGGCAGAGGGCTCGGACACGGGCTGTGGGCAGGGGAAGAGTCTACCAGGCAAGGGCACGTGAGCGCAATCTATTGTGAGATGACATCTGTTGAACATGGAGGAGGACGGGGATTCCACGTGCAAAGGGGTGCCTGGTAGGGGTTGATGGCTTTGAATTTGTTGGTAGTTGGCCTGAACTGAGGAACAGCTTTCTGTCAGCTCCTATGGAAAGAAATCCAAATATCTTTCCTGGAAAATCTGGCTCCTGGGCACAGCTGGTGTGGAGAATGGCTGAGAGAGGGGTCTAGCCTGTACTGCTGAGGGCCTGCTCACTCAGGCGGGACCTCGGGCCTACTTGGGGAGCTGGGCAAAAATTCAGATTTCTCATGTTCAGTAGACCCTTCTGCAAGCTCTGGAGACTGCGTTTTCAAAGTTCCCATCTGATCTAATGAGTCGTTAGATCAGGACAGTATTTAGGACACAGCCTCCAGAGACCTGTGGTCCCTGCTTTGTGACGGCCTCACTTCTGTTTCTAACTTCCTCTGAGTCACACTTGCTTTGTCCACTAGATGAAATGTTCCTGCTCCCCCCTACTCTCTCCTCTTTCCCTCCCCTTTTCCCCCCTTTCTTTTTTCACTCTTCCCTACCTCCTATAGTGCTCAGGATGTAGTTCATTTTCAGGCCACATGTGGGAAGATGGTAAGCATCATTCAATAATGCCTCAAATCTTGGGAGACTTGAGATTCTAGAATCTTGGATGTTGGACTCAACAGAGGGATGCAATCATTAGAACTGGGTTATAAGACAATGGCTTGGCCCTAGACAATACTGGTTCCTGGTTTTTCAGAGCTTGAACTAGGAAAATAATATTGCCTGAGATGATATTGACACTCGGGTGGGATATTTGAAATATATTCTTATGCATCAAGTACTGTTGTCCTTGATTTACACAGGAGAGTGCTGGTGCTTGGAAGGAGGTGTGTATGTTCATGCCTGTGGTGCATCGGAGTCATGTTTCACAGAAATCCAGGCAACATGGCTTTGGGTCTCAGACTCTGTGTTCCTGACATTAAGCCAAGTATGAGGTCAGAGTGGTCCTTGAGCCACAGTGCTGATCTCCACAGCAAGATGGGCCTCCGAGAAAGCTCTCTAGGATATTTCTGGGCTCTGCATTACTAGGTATTCCGTGTTTTGCATTTCTGGTTACTTGATAATGAAGTTGGAAAAGCATTCATTTTCACAATGGAAATTGGCCTGTAGAATACTTCCATTGATGCCAAAAGCTTGACAAGTTCAAAGGAAACCCATAACACAAAATTGTCTTGTGCTGGAAACCCCTTGGCTACTTCTTATTGTGTTCCTGTGTAAGATCTGACGTCTGACCTTCACCTGGTTCCTCAGAGCTCAAAGGGCTCTCTGCCCAGGGTTTCCCTTCACCTGCCTCACTGATTCAATCCTCATTTAGCTTATGTGAATTCAAATGTCTAAGATCTACTTTACCTAACGCACAGAATATGGATATTAGTAAATACATTCACTTAATTCAGAGATCATTTCAGAATCCCAGCCTTCTGTAACTCTCCCCTTTTCTGTCTCTATTCCCAGGGCATCACCTTCAGTAGAAGGACAAATTACCACAGTCAGTGAGCTGCCAAGTGCTGCCCCCACCCTGTCAAAGAAAGCAGCTGGTCCTGTTTTTAATCAGCACCTCCCAGCACAAGCCTCTGGGTCACAGGGGAAGAACAGGGCAGGGTTTGAAACTTTCCGAAGACAATTAATACGCACTGAGTGCAAAAGGCCACTTAGGTCATCTCTGTATGAATCTGCTTGATTGGAGACACAAACAAGAGAGGTGCAACTTTCATAGAAGACTTCACACGGACGTACTCTCCATTGCAACCATACTATAGATGATGATTATTGAAATAGCCCCAGCATTTACCACAGAGCAAAAGATATAGCTTGAGAGGCTATCGGACAATTCCAGAACCAAAGAATGGATGACTACAGGTACCGGGACAACTATGAGGGCTACGCCCCCAGCGATGGCTACTACCGGGGCAACGAGTCAAACCCGGAAGAAGATGCCCAGAGTGACGTGACAGAAGGCCACGATGAGGAGGACGAGATCTATGAGGGCGAGTACCAGGGCATCCCTCATCCAGATGATGTCAAGTCCAAACAGACTAAGATGGCGTCCTCCAGGGCAGATGGCCTTCGGGGCCAGGCAGACCTGATGGCTGAGAGGATGGAGGATGAGGAGCAGCTGGCCCACCAATATGAGACCATCATTGATGAGTGTGGCCATGGGCGTTTCCAGTGGACCCTCTTTTTTGTCTTGGGTTTGGCCTTGATGGCCGATGGAGTGGAAGTGTTCGTGGTGAGCTTTGCCTTGCCCAGTGCGGAGAAAGACATGTGTCTGTCCAGCTCCAAGAAAGGAATGCTTGGTAAGTAGGAACTTCCAAGGTCATTTCCCTGTGACCTCAAATATGTGAAAGGAAAAAAATATACATATGTACTATCTTCTTATATATGTAGGTATACATACATATACATAATACAACATACATATATTTATATATAAAGAGAGAGAAAGTCTGTCACCATTAGACACTTTAAATATGCCATGGTATCTGTGAAATTATAATTTTATAGTCATTTGCCATTAAGGCATTATTGTCGTATAGAAATAAATTAGTCAATTGTTTGGGTCAGACTTACATAGCTAATATTAGAGCTTGGTTTCCTATTCAAATCTGTTTGATACCTAGCTCTTTCTTTGATTACCGTATCTTGATTTCTTGAATGACAGACTATTCTCCCAGTAAACCATGTTCCCTATTCAAATAACAATACATTTTGGAAAGGGATAAGCCAGAGGTCTCTTCCATCCTTCCTTCTTCATGTGTCTTCCCAGAACCCAATGACCTCTGCTTCCAGCTTCTCTTATACTAAGAGTTAGTGGCTGAGTGCCCATGTGCTTTGGATAACTGAGGGCCTTGAGCAATACCCACAGCATCTCTGTGGGCAGCTGAGAACCACGGGGTGAGGCCCAGATGGACTCGGAAGGGTAGAGGAGCAGCTTGCAAGTCAGTTAGCAGAGCGGCGCTGTGAGAGCCAAGCCCTAACCATCAGAGCTTGCGGCACAGAAGATTCTATGCAGTTAGAGAGGATGGGCACACATGGTGTGGAATAGAAGAGATTCATCATAATATAGCTAATGGCTCGTCTCAGTCCCCAAATATCCCCAAAACAAATCTACTCTCTAAATTTAGTGACCATGTAGAGCCCAGGAAGCATTCAGCTATTGAGAATTTACTGTAAGTCAGTTTCTCATTCAAGATGAAAAACACTTATGGCCCTCAGGAGTTCAAGCCCTGTCCAGCCACCAAACTCATCAGTTCAACAAATAAGTACACATTTTTGGTCTATTGTATGCTAGTACCTGTGATACAGTCCTGGAGAGACAATAGCTCTTGTTTCTTAATATATGTCATAAGGTCAGAAGGTCTTCATGAACACAGAAGTGACTTAACAACGTCAGGGGTCAGCACTAGCATGTGCCTGTGTCTTTCTAGACCTTGACTTTGGAGAAAGAGTTAGCAAATGTTTCTGAGATAGTACACATATTCGAAGCCCAGATGGCTCCTGCCACAACTATCCAAATCCAGAGCTGTAATCAAAATCATCTGGAGATGACATGTGAACAAGTGGACGTGAGTGTGCTTGGGGGGTGGACGCAGTGTCTGTGAGCTTTGAGAGCAAATCTGAAAAGAGTGAGAAAGTGCGTATACGGAGAAATAAGAAAAATTGCTGGCTGGGTGGTGGTGGCGCATGCCTTTAATCCCAGCACTCGGGAGGCAGAGGCAGGTGGATCTCTGTGACTTTGAGACACAGAGCTAGTTCCAGGACAGGCTCCAAAGCCACAGAGAAACCCTGTCTCGAAAAAAAAAAAAAAAAAAGAAAAGAAAAATTGTTACTGAGAAACAAAATGACATGAACCAAGACGACAAAATTAGCCAAACAAAAAAGAATTATCTCTGGGCCATTAAAACTTGTCTTATACATTTATGCTTAGCTATAATGCCACTTAAAATGATTAGAGCACCATTAGACATGATCTAAAAAATCAAAGGAGGTTGAGATATACAATCAGTATATCTCAAAGTGAAAAATGCTTTGAGAAGCTGGGAAGTCATTCAGCTTGTAGAGCACAGTAGAATTTTAGTTGTGTGTGAGCACACGTACATTCGTCCACACATGCACACACACACTACCCACCCTCAAATGTTGAACAGTAGATTTGTAACAATTTATTTATTTGCATTTTATATTCATGGTGTTTGGCCTGAATATATATCTGTGTGATGGTGTCAGATCTCCTGGAACTGGAGTTACAGACAGTTGCGAGCTGCCATGTGGGTGCTGGGAATTGAACCCAGGTCCTCTGGAAGAGCAGCCAGTGCTCTTAACCACTGAAGCATCTCTCTAGCCCTGAATAGTTGATTTTTAAAAGGGCAAACTAAAGAACAAAATTCCCTACTGAAACCAAGCCATCCCTAACCAACTTAAGCATTTTTAAGTCATGAGCTCATTTTGTGCTGTTCCCAACCGAAACCTAAGTCCCTGTTTACTCTGGCATTGCCAGTTAAGGTTTCATGCCCATCAGTATCTCTGGCACCACTGTGCCCAGCAGACTCATTAGCAGAGATACAGCACTGTGGCAGCTCCAGCCTCTTGCAGGGCAAATGCTGGGCAGGAGCTGAGGGCATGTGGTTATGATCTGAAGAGCCCACTCTGGTGTAAGTTTGCCCCATGTTTACCATGAAGATGCTATGACTCAAACTGAGAAGGGCACATAGACCCTGAGCAGAGATTTCCAGAGGAGAATTCCTGTGTGGTCAACAAAATGGGAGTCTAAGTGAATCCAGGTGGATGACCGAGAGTCTCAGAGTCACCTTGGAGACTGGTCACATGTAGAAATAGATTCAGAGAGCCTTATCTAAGTGCCAAGCAGGGCATGTTGGCAAGATTTCCGACTTTGAAGTCTGCTCTCACTCTTTGGGACCATCCTACCTTTTCCTTATACATGGGTTGCGGATAAGAAGCCCTGCCCTGGAGCAGGCTTCTCTCCATGTGGGACCATGCGACTGTGAGAGTTTGGCAGCTAGCTATATCATTATCGGTCAGTGACCTAGGGCCAGTCCCATCTCTCGCAACTAGTTTTCCTGAGGACGAGGTAAGGATGATGGCACATTTGTTGTGAGGACTGAGATAATGCAGACAACACAACAGAATGGATGCTTTCTAAACAACCAAGCTCCCTTCTTGGTGCCATGCCAAGCACTGGCATGGATTCAGACTGCACTGACCTAATGGAGATCAGGGCCAGGCTGCCTGGTTTGAAGTAACACTCTGCTGACTCTTAGTGGGGAGACCTCAGGCAGCTTACTCAGCTGCTTCATACCTTGGCTCCCTCCAAGCCTGTTTGTTTGTTTGATGGTAATGCCTGTTCCGTAGGATTTCTGTGTAGATGGACTGAATTCAACCGTACTGGATTTAATGTGGTTAACTTGGCTGACTTGCTGTCTGAATCTCACAGGTGCTCAAGATATCTTTATTGCTTTTGATTGAAGTTATTATTATTATTTACTTGATCTCTTGGTATAGTGAGGATGAGGTACCCACACTCAGGGGCAGATTCGCACTGATGACTTTGAATATGTGCTTCAGTCAAATTGATGCCTCGTGGACCCCTAAGGTCAAGCTGCTTGACCTTAGCGGGCAAAAGGCCCTTGTGTTCCAGCATTGACCCAGAGTGCTTGCTCTCTCTCTCTCTCTCCTCCTCACCCCCCATTTCCATTCTGTTTTAAAAAGAAACTCTCTCAAGTGAAGTCTCTAATTTGACTCTCAGTGAGTGGCCCAAGAAAACAACATAGAGAACAACCAAGGTCTAACTCATAGATCTTTTTATTTTTCTTACGGGGAAGAAATGAATCAAATTAGAAAAATTAAAGATGCTTTCTTGGTATCTTAGTTGTTTCTCTTGAACATTGTGTTCTAGCAAGTCCCTCATGAACATCTGCCACACGGGGTAGAAAATAGGTTCAAGAACACATGGCCATCACTGTAGCCTCAGCTGTGTTTCTATCAGTGGTGGTCACCTTTAAGACAAGGAAAATGTATCCGCTTGTTAGTTAAGCATGTTATTTGTTCTTTTAATTATCTATTTCTTCTCTCTCTCTCTCTCTCTCTCTCTCTCTCTCTCTCTCTCTCTCTCTCTCTCTCTCTATGTGTGTGTGTGTGTGTGTGTGTGTGTGTGTGTGTGTGTGTATGTGTGTGTGCATACGTGGGTCGTGAGGCAGTTGTTCTTCCTGGCCACCCAGTTAGCTCAGACCTAAAATAATCACACAGAAACTGTATTATTTAAATCACTGCTTGGCTCATTAGCTCTAGCTTCTTATTGGCTAACTCTTACATATTAATTTAACCCATTTCTATTAATCTGTGCATTGCCACGAGGCTGTGGCTTACCGGGTAAAAAATTCTCAGCAACTGTCTCCGGTGGCTCCATGGCTTCTCTCTCTCTCTCTCTCTCTCTCTCTCTCTCTCTCTCTCTCTCTCTCTCTCTCT